ACTTAAAACTAGCAGTGTGAACGGTGAGGCTCTGGTGGCGACTTGGGCTAACTCCCCGAGCTCAGGGCCAGGTGGCTGGGGGGGCTTGAGCCCAAAATGCAACATCCGCACTGATATTGTTAGCAAGCTAGCACAAGCTTGTCTACCCAGGCTGGAAGGATCACTCCCAGCTGCAATGTAGGCATACCCCTGGGGTCCTGCTGCACACGGTTGGATTTCACCCATCCTGGTTTAGGCTTTGAAGCTAAATCTCCATTTCCCAGTATAATCTCTGCTCCCTGTGACCAGGGGTCTCGTGCTCCATTCATTCAAACAGTCAAAAACCCTTGCTTCTGCTCTCTTCTCAGATGCTTTTGAGGCAATGACTTATCCAGGTTGCCCATACCTGGATGTTAATATGTGTTATAATATGTTAATAATGTTGAATTCTTTGCCTGAATGGAAGATCAGGGTGTTTTGGGTTTCTTCTTCCAGGCCCTGCATGAAGATGAAGAATCTCTTAGTATTTGCTGTGCTATTTGCTTATGGTAAGTGCAATACATTCACTGATTTCACTTACAAGGGTAAATCTACTGATGTGAATAGCATTATAGCAGCATTAAACCGATGAATCAGACCCAGGCCCACTCATTCTCTAACTTTTTCCAATTAATTGGGGGGGGAATACTGGCTTGGCCTGCGGGCTGAAAGCTTGCTACAAAACCTGCCTCCAAATTCTGCACATCTGGATCTACTTCTCTTTCCCGTTGCATCAGTACAGTGCCGTTAAAATCAATGGGGTGGCACCAGTGTAAATGCAGGGAGAATTTGACCCACAAGCTAAAATCCGTGGGTCTGGCTCCCATGTCAAGCAAGAGAACACACAACTGGGTCCATGGAGAAGATCCACAAGAGATCTACAAAGTCCGTAAATGGGGGTGTGGCCTCAGCCAATTGTGGGAGAAGTCAGTGCAAAAGTTCTAGGGCTCCCTACTATAAGTTACTACAGAAAATAGATCACAAGTTGGTGCTGCCATGAGCAGAATTAACTCTGTGCCAGCAAAAAACTGCACGTCAGGAGGATGGCAGAGAAAGCGGAGTTGATCGATACATTTCAGGTTTTGAAATTTGAAGCAAAATTAGGGACAATAGTACTGAAACTTCTGCATTATTATCACCCTAGTGTGTGTGGGGAGGGAGGGGGGAGTTGTTTTAAAACCACCTATAGAGCTGGTTGGAATGATTTAAAAGCCTGAACCATTCTGAAATTTGGAAAAATGCCAAAAGTCCAATTGTTTTAAAATAAAAGGGGAGGAAGTTTGATTCCCCCACACCCACTTCTTAAAAGCAGCTGTACTCTGGCCCTGCCAGTAGCTGCCTAACCATGCCGAGATCATCTGAACATAGGGTGGGTGGGCTCCTCTGAAACGGAGGGAGGCCTGAGAAAGTTCACTGCACCTTCCCATGTACCACACCACCTCATTAATGGTACTGCCATGTGAGTAGCAGTGCTACCATCAGTATCTTCCCAAACACAAGATCTGTCCCTTCCATTGGTGTTTCTAGATGTGCCCCCTGCCCGCTAATACACTTTTTGCCTTCTAATGACTCAATGGCATGATATATAAGACCTTTTGCAGCTAGGATTTCCAGTACGGGCCTGAGGATCTGAATTGTTCCTGCAAGTCTCTTCTGCATATGTCCCATTCTTATTACAAAGTTGTTACCATGGAGCTCATGGATTTATGAGGAGAGGCTGAGGGAACTGGGATTGTTTAGTCTGCAGAAGAGAAGAATGAGGGGGGATTTGATAGCTGCTTTCAACTACCTGAAAGGGGGTTCCAAAGAGGATGGATCTAGACTGTTCTCAGTGGTACCAGACGACAGAACAAGGAGTAATGGTCTCAAGTTGCAGAGGCGGGGGTTTAGGTTAGGTTGGATATTAGGAAAAAATGTTCACTAGGAGGGTGGTGAAGCACTGGAATGGGTTACCTAGGGAGGTGGT